GGGAACAAATACAGATCTCTTCCTTGTCCACCTTTTGAGGGCATACGAGGTGATTGAAAATGCCATGGCTTGTGTTGGGCTACTGTGAAAACAGAGTTCACATCAAGGTCTGGCGCCTCTAAGGTGGTTCAAGACCCACGAGGCCTTATTCTCCGAACGGGAGCACAGAGCCTTCCAGCCGCAGAGGGTTCTTGGCCTCTCTGGTCCAGAACAGCTGGCAGAAGTGGGCAGACTGAGAGCCTCAGATGCAGCTGCTCCCCAATCCTGGTGCGCAGAGCTGAACTCGGACCCGTGGCCCTCACTGCCCAGACCGTGCACAACCAGCTTCTCCTCCTCCAGCCTGTTTTTCCCATCTGTAAAATGGGAATAATCACAGTATCTCTCTCTCTCTCTCTCTCTGATGGCTACATGAGCCATGGTTGTTGTTGATTGCCTTCCAGTCGAGCACAACTCGTAGCAACCCTATGAACCAAAGGCCTGAAGCTCCCCCTACAACTTGAGCCATTGGTGGGGGGCCAATAATGAAACAGCTGGTATCTGTAGAGCATTTTGTTTCATGCCAGGTATCTGCTGGACACTGAAGTTAGCCTCAGAGAATGTTCTAGAGTCAGACTTACATGTTCTAGAGTCATGGCTTACATGTCTGGGCCTCAGTTTTCTCATCTGTGAAATGGGGACAATAGAAATGACCGTGTGTGGGTGTGGGTGTGTGTGGCCTCAGTGAGGCAAGCTAGGTGGAGCTCACACCACAACGGAGCCTGGTGTCAAAGCTGATCCTAGTTAACACTGCTGCACCCAACAGTGACCTCTCACTCTCTTTTTAGAAGAAATACAAAGTGGAGACAGAGATAGAGAACTGGATCCAGAAGTACGATACGGAGATGAGTGAAAAGCAGGTATTTCTCTCTGAGTCTGTCTCTTTCAAAGCCTAGGATGGGAAGGGGACCTGGCTACAGTTTGTACCAGACACAGAGCCCCCCAGAAAGGCCCTAGGAGGAGGCTACAGCAGGGTCCCAGCCTGGGGCGGAGAGGGGTGAGGTTTGCCAGAAGAGGCCAGAAGCCCTGAGCCCCTATGGTGAGAAGTGCCTGGACTCATCCAGCAGGCTTGGCTCCATCTAGTGTCCACTCCCATAGTCCTCTGCTTCCTCCTGGCTCCCACAGCTAGGATATGCCTCTTCAGGCTCAGGTGTGAGGCCTTTTCAGCAGGTGCCCCTGGGGTGTGCCTGGTGCTGGGGTGGCAGCAGGGAAGACAGGAAGTGTCACATAGCAGCTGTGTGACCTTAAGCAGGGATCTGACCTTCCTGAGCCCACTCCTGCATCCATCTGGTCAGCCGAGTCCATGACACCATGACTCTGGATTGTGGCGGGCATCAAGCGATAAGCTTCTGTCACAGTGCAGGGTCTGGCTTAGGGAAAGGCAGCCTACAAACTGGGGCACCCCCAAGTCCTCCACTCATCTCTGCATTAACTTGCTGGCCCCGGACTTGACCAGGGACAGAAGATCAGGGAGCACTGGCCCTCAGCCCCCAAGTGCACAGAGACCCAGGGTGGGCCACGTGAGAGGGGGCTGGAGGGGCCTGTTGACTCAACTCAGAGCTCTGGGGGGAGGGCTTATCCTGTGGTGGGTGTCCGGTCAGTATTAGATGAGAGAGGGAGAGAGAGGGGAGGAAGGGGGAGAGGAGGGAGAGAGGAGAGAGAAGAAGGAAGGAAAGTGGAGGGATAGGATGGAGAGGGAGGGAGGGAGAGGGGAGGGCAGGAAGAAGGGAGAGTGGAGGGGGAGAGAGGGAAGGGAGGAGGAGGGAGAGAGGAAGGAGGGGAAGAGGAGGGAGAGAGAGGGGAGAGCAGGAGGGAGGGAAAGGAGGGCAGGAGCAGAGAGGGGAGAATGAGAACCCCAAGAGGCTGCACGTGGCCATGAGGAACCCTTCCCCTGGGGTGTCTGGTGGCAGCATTCCCCATCTTACTGTCTGGTGTCCCTGCCATGTGCTTGGCATCCTGGACAGTCCATGTGCCCATCGTGCCATTCGGCCTTCAAGCCAGCGCCAGGAGTGGGGTCTGTCCTCTGCCGTGGTGGATGAGAAGCCAAGTCTTAGGAGGTGGAGGTTCCCAAGTGGATTTGAACTTGGTGTCCAATCCACAAGCCCCTGGGGGCTTTCTGTTGTCCATTCCCCCACCCCTATTCCTGTTCAGGCAGGCCCATCACCTCTAGGAGAGGAGGTGGGGATGGCTGGGGGCACACGGGGTCCAGGGCGGGTGGGCGCCGGTGGGCGGAGGCTGCAGGCCTGGTGGCTGCCCGCAGGCGGAGCTGGAGGAGCTGGACGCCATCCACAAGGAGGAGAGGGCACAGCTGGAGGAGCTGAAGAAGAAGCAGGAGGTGCTGGTGGAGGAGTTCTCCCGGATCCGCACGGAGCAGGAGATCAACTCCCAGAAGCGGCTGGAGGCCGAGGAGCAGATGCTGCTCATGGTGCGGGCGGCCACACTCATCCAGGCCATGTGGAAGGGCTACCTGGTGCGCTCCATGCTCAAGTCCAAGAAGAAGAAGAAGAAGAAGCGCGGCAAGGGCAGGGCCAAGGGCAAGAAGTGAGCCCTCACTGGGGATGGGCCAGGGCGCAGGGGCAGCCTGAGCTTCTGGCTGACCTGAGGTGCTGCCTATGAATAAATTCACTTTAAAGGAGCCCTGGTGGTGTCATGGTTAAAGGATCCAGCTGCTAGGTGAAGGGTTAGTGGTTCAAATCCACTGGCTGCTCTGTGAGAGAATGCTGAGGCTGGAAGGACTGGTAGCCTCACAAGCCCTGGTGCAGGGTTCCCTGGGCCCTGCATGTGCTGTGAATCCACAACGTGGCAGCAGCTGGAGATTTCCCCCAGGGTCCCCAGGGCTCCAGGCCTCAGGGTCTTCCCAGAGTCTGGCTTGTGAGACTGTGGGCGACCAGGACTGTCAGGGCCACCCCAGCCTTGTCCCAGCGCAGGTCAGGGGTGAGAAGGGGGCAGTATAACGGCTGCAGGGGGCCTGGGGACAGGCCGACAAGTCCAGGAGCTCTCTGGGATTTTTCACTTGCTGAGAATGTCTTTCTTATCCAAGAAGAGGAAATCCCAGAACGAGTCTGGGGTCACAGGCCTGTGGCATGCTAGAAATGTCTGTAATTATGCTGTCATTAGGTGCCATGGCGTCGACGAGGCCTCATAGCGACACTGACCAGCAGATCTGAGCCCTGTTGTATCCTGTGCCGTCCCCATCATCTGACATGCTTAAGCCCATTGCCGCAGTCACTGTGTCGACACATGTCGTTGGGGGTCTTCTTCTTCTCTTTCCCTGACTCTCCACATGATTTCTGTTAGGCTAAAAATAAAAACGGAGGTTGAAGCTCAACTCAAAAATCCTATGTCAGGATATTTTCCAGAACCAGAACTCAGAAAATCCTCTGTCAGGACATTCCCAAAAATCAGAACTTAGAAAAGTGTCTGGGGAGCTCTGGTGGCCTAGTGGCAAGGAGCTGCAACTATAATCCCAGAGGCACACGGTTCGAATCCACCAGATGCTCTGCTGGGAAAAGGAGGGACAATGTCCCCCTGTACCAGTCAGATCTGATTTGACGGTACACACACACACAAAAAAAATTTAAAAAAAAAATAGAAAACTCTCTGTCAGGACATTTTTCTGAAACCAGAACTCAGAAATCCTATGTCAGGACATTCCCCAGAACCAGTTTCCCAAGACCAGAAACTTTAGGCACCAATGAGCCATATAAAGACCCCATATAAACAACCCCCCCAAGCCCAAACCCCAAGGCTACTCCCCTTGCTGAGAAGCCCAGCGCACAAATAAACTCTGAGGAATGTTTCTACCTCAGTTTGTTTCTTGGCTTTGATCTGAAACCTTTCTATGTCCCTTTCGGAGAACAGCCTCTCCTAACGATGTGCTCAAACTGTGTGAGACCAAGTCTTATCATCCTTGCCTCCAAGGAGCATTCTGGCTGCACCGTCTCCAAGACAGATCTGCTTGTTCTTTTGTCAGTCCATGGGCCACTCAGTATTGTCCAACCCCACAGCTCAAAGGTATCCAGTTAATTTATACAGACTTTCATTGTCCTTTGTGAGTGAAGAACTCTCTTGCTTCGAAAACCAGGAACAAAGCTGGGGGTGGGGGCAGGCCGGCAGGTCCTGGAGTAGGAGTGGGGCTCTTTCCCAGGGCTCCTCAGACACACAGGTAACTTCCGGGGCTCTCCGGATCCCTCCTGGGGCTGAGGTGCTGCTCTGTGGCAAAGCGGGACATGCATGCCTGAGACAGGGACACCTTGTCACCTTGTTCTTCCACCACTGGCTTTTCTGAACGTCTTATACTGTGCTTTTCACAAATCTTAAGTCCAGCCTCCGGTAAGCCTCTCGGTGCCATTTCCCAACCACATCTTTGTATCTGTGTCCCATTTGGGGAATCCTCACACTCTTACAAACTTTCCCAGGCTACTGCGCATGTTAACGGACAAGAGTCTATACACGACTTTGGTGTGCGCTGGGTAAATTATCCACATGGTTCAATGCATTGTAATAATCCCCTCATTGCTGCTGTCTAGAACTGAGCCTGTAGTTACGTTACCCCCAAGGTCTGCCTGTGATTTCAGAACCAAACTCAGGAGGGAGCCACTGACCTGCCTGCCAGTCATTAGGTGGAAGGCAGAGGCAGGTCAGGGTCAATGTTGCTGCTGTCTGTTCTGTTGCAATCCCTGTCCTATCTCCATCCTTGTGGCATCATTGTTTAGCTTTGTTACTTAACATCCACTCATTTCCTTTCTTTTTAGTGTTGAGTATCTTCCTAGTGTGAATGTTCACCTTACAAATCTATTCCTTGGCTGAAAGTTGTGTCAGAAAGGCGAGTTCAGGCCAGGATGAAAGCACTGCCAAGGGCCACAGTCTCGAGGGCTCCAGCAGGCCAGCAAGTCTGACCGTTAGTGTGATTTTTTTTT